TGCTTGAAAACATGTGATGTGTGCTAATTAAAGTGGCCAAACAAATAAATTGTTTTTTTATTTGTTCGTTTTAATAACAAGATCCTGCTTGTACGCAAAATGTCGCAAAAGTGCACAGTGTGCTTGGGAACATTAAGTTTTGGTGTTGCTGTATTTCAGGTTAAAAACCAAAAATTTTTTATCTCAAGAGCAGCTATTTTGTTACTTTTCGGCGCTTGAAAATAATGCAACAGAAAAAAAGAATAAAAAAAAGAAAACTGTTCCCTAGGTAGAATTGCATCGCTTTCAAATGTTTCACGATTCGCGACGTATCGTACTCTTATGAGTGTCCCAGTGTTGGTGTTCTCACTAATCTCAGTTAAACGCTTGACAGATAGTTGCGTCGTATCTTGGAAGATTTGCCGCGTGTTTGTTGTAATCTAAAAAAAAAAGCGGAGTAAAATCACGGTTTTTCAGGTGGTGTCGCCAAAATGACATCTGCGTGATACGTCTGTGGAGAGCAAAAACACAAAAATAAGAATGTCTTGTAAAAACGGTTGAGAAAAACATGGTGTCCACTTGCAGGCAAGCTTTAAACGTCAGTGATTTGGTAAGGAACTACGTGTTTGGCTGTTGCAATAAAAAATCAATCCGTACTGATTGGGAAAGCCTGAACATCTTCAAGCAAAAATTTAACAGTGGTTTGTCAAAGAGAAAAAATGCATGAAATTTGTGCTGTTCGTTTTGGACTTGTGCTTCTAGAGGTTAGCCAATTGCTCGTCTTTTATTTTGCAGCCTGTGCTCAGTTTGGATCTTTAAAGATTTACTGCTACATATTACGAGTGCATCCAATCTGCGAAGTCTACAACGTTTGCGCATTGTGGGTATCAAGCACGACAAATCACGCTTTTTACGTCAGCGACTCTTTTACATAAGGATATTTCTTAACACTGTTTTGTTAAACCTGTTTTTTTGCTTCTTGTTAGTCGTAGAAACGTTTTTTTTTTTTGTTAAACCTTTGCTTAAAACTCAAATGCAGCGTCACACACTCTAACGTTTTTAATAAGCCGCATATACTGAAAAACCTGTGCTGCTGTGGATAACTTTATTACTTCTTACAACGTTCAAATGAGTGTGACCTGATGACGGACTGTTGCACCTTCAGTTTATCTGCACCGAACTCACTTTATTACAGGAAAATTAATAACACATTTTGGTTTTAGATATCTAGAACGTTAAAAAAACAATCGAGAGTATAGCATTTTCGCTGTAATGAGTGTAGAGGAAATGGATAATTAAAATAAAGCATTGGAACAGCAAGCTGGTGCGGCAAAGAGCGCTCCAGACGCTCTAGCACTAAGTTGTTAACGGTCGCAGTTGGTTCAACACTAAACCTACATACAAAACTGTATCAGTTTTGTTAATTATTATTGCAAATAGAGAAAAAACTAAACAGAATAACAAATTTTACACTTTCTCCAAATTAGGAGACTTATTTTTTTTGAGTTGGGAGAAATACGATCGCAGTATACTTTCTATTAGGAAACCGTAAATTACAAAGCAATGCCAAAGAAGCGAAACGCTTCTGGCGCACTGACAACTAAGCCTTTTGGTATAATTAAAACACGCTTTACAGGTGTGGGTAAAGAAAACTGGAGCACAATAGGTTTTACAGGTGGGGTGACTTGGCTAGGATCTGTATAAACAACTCCCATATCAGTGGCAAATCGCTGCCACTTCTCGTCATTTTCTAATACTGTTAGCTATGCTATTGTTTTCTCGCATTTTCATGTAATTATATACTTTTGTTTTTCATCATTAGTGGTATAGAGTAATTGTTTTTTATATCAAGAGAGCTTTTGCTGTTAACATCAAGTCACACAAGTTTGAGATGTGACCAGATAAACTGCCGTGAACTCACTAATCTTGTGTAGCACAAAAGCATTGCTCTGACAGGCTTTATCAACATTAGGGTTTCTGAGAGTACTAAAGGGAACAGAAAAAAGGTGCGACAGAACCGCCAACAATAAAAACAAACTGTTTCTTTTCTTTACCATGTTGTACAAAAAGTTTGTACGCTACTTGAAGATAGAACAGAAAGTACTATAGAGTAGCTTACAACTTAAAACGTTGAAGTGTTGGTAAACTATCCTCACATAAATTATATTTCAGCCGAAGAAAATGAGAGTTAGATTTTATCAGATTTGGTCGCTAATGTTGGTTTCTTTCTAAACCTCTGCTTTAGAAAGATCTACAGTGGATTTGAACTTTTCCACTTTTATCTTTCCACTTTTTTTTATGGTCAAGCAGTTAAACTAATCCTATTTTCACTCCAGTTAAACCAAAAAGTTGTCCGACCTAATCGGTTTCCCATTCTCATTTATTTCTGTGTTTACCTAATTTTTGGTGGGTTAACATGTTGTTCACCGGAGAAGGGTAGACCGTCTCTGAACGTTGTCAGCGATCTGAACGTTCTGTAGAAAATATTTACGCAATGCGCCAGAAATGCAGTTTCTTAGCTATTTTATCTCGTCTATTCGTTTGCTGTGGTAAAAGCATTTATTTAAAAAAGCGCTTAAATTTTATATATATTTTTGCTTTGCTGAACAAAGTTGATTTAACAGTGAAGAACGAAGATTTTCAAACAAATTCCCTCTCCAATTTGTTTTTTACTAACTAAAATAATGACAGTATAAGCTGCCTACGGGTACAAAATTTGATTTTCGAATTAAATTTTTTACCGTAGTAAGAATTCCTCTGATTTTAGATGCATATGTTATCGTAATTTTTTATGTATTTTTGCTCTTTATAATATTTCTAGGTCGAGAATTCAGAAATTCTATAATTGCCAAAAATTAAAAAACGTAAATAGCAGTTTAAACAAAAAAGATTTTTCTAATTTTTTCTTCCCACGTAAGAGATCATGTAGCAAACACTTTTACCTGTAAAAATGAAAAGTGATTATTAACACACGAATAAAGCATTGCGATAACCGGTTTTATTTTGGTAAACTTGAGGTATAAAAACTTCAAGACTATGCATTTATGACTGACCAGTTTTTCCCTTCTCGCATTTAAACCTTCCTCCATACTTTTCGTTGAAGCAGTATATTACGAGATGCACTCAGAACTTCAACGAATAAGTCACCTAGATTACCTAGTAAGATCCAACTGTAACAATGAAATGTCGCTTGAGAATCTCAACAAATTCGTGATTATAACGTTCTGAGGTTACCTGTTTGGTACAACTATCTGACCAATAATCAAGCTAAAAAGCAACTGGTTTACAAAAAAGTTAAAGCATTCTACAGATTGCATTTTTGTTTTCAAAATTTTAAAACTTTTTATTTATTTCAAATACACTTTATTGTCATTTTTTTCATTTTATTCTTATGCTATTACAGTAAATTTTATTAAATGTTATCAACAGATAGAAGAACTGCAGTCTTTATCTAGTTCTTCCTTAACATCGTTAGATTTTCAACAATAGCAAGGCTAAAGTACGTTGAGTAGCGCCTTAATGATTAGAAAAAAGACGACAGCTTGAGCCAGCACTTGCATTCACTTTAACTACAAAACAGTCAGGCTAATAAGTGGTAGTATTTTAAGCTACACTACAACAAATAAACATATTGTTCTACACTTTCAGAACTGCTGCATTAGACGGTACTTTATCAGAAAAGTGCTATTGTCTTTAGTGTTTTTTTAAATAGGTCAAGCTAAATTTTCATAAACTACTAAGCTTTGAGAGAACTACTAAAAATTACACAAAATTTCTCATCGCTAAACAATTCTTCTTTGCTGTCCAATTTCTTCGTACTTCCTGTTTTCGAAATTGCTGTCAAAAACTTCTGCAAAAAGTTCGATAAATACCACGGAGTAATTGTTATTTTTCATTCTTTAAAAGGTTATTAGAATTGCCGTCATCCACTCCTTCCAACCAATACGTTAACAGTGTTCCAAAGCCCTAAACACACTTCTAGTAGTCAAGCTTAAAAAGATAATAAAAGTTTATGACCAATCAATTCATATAAAAAAATGTAAACACCAATAATTGTATTACCATTTTGATATTGTGTCATGTTTCAATACCCATTACTGCTTGACTTGTAAGTGTCGCCATCAGTAAAAGATTTTTAAAATAAAATTTTTAGCCCGTAACGTTAAGATTTCAAAAAAACATTTTTTCAGTTTTCATCTTACTGTTTTAGCTCCCTTTCTCTTCCATAGCAAGAGGTAAGCCAGTTTATTTGCGAGAGTATATTAGCGTTAAAACCTGATTGAGCACAGAACTTACTAGGCGTCCAATTGCACTAAATTTGCAAGCTTGTCACGTCGCAGTTAACACAAACAGTAAAAAAGTTGGGTTGTGACGGACATCTAGTCCTATTTTCAACGCAATAATTATTTAGTTTTTACGATAAAAGGTACACTTACAACTCAAAATGAAATTGAATCGACACTCTTATGATGTCGCTTTGAAAAAATTAATTTTTCAAGAAAAGAGTCTGTTTTACGCAAAAGTGACATTTACAATGAAGCAGTAGATCATAACAGTAGTCATGTCCTCTCTACATACTGTTCAAAAACGATTTTTTGTGCCTCACCATTCAAAACCTAAGATAGCCTGCCAAGATAACTTTTGGTAAAATGACCTACTCAAACGTATAATTTATGACTGAAAACTCTGGCTATATGTCTGTCCTGCACCATTCCCACTCTGACCTCAATCTGACCTTAGCCTATGTTCATCACGACGCTCGAACCGTCAGACGCAAGAAGGTTCTTCACTGAAAGTGTTACTTAGCAGAGACTATCGCTGCGCGAACGACCGCTAACAAAGGGCAAAAACGCTGGAGAAGTTTTTTTTCCTGCTCACGGTTACTCCGTTCCTGCACAACTTTTTACTGACTTCGTTGTGTTCTCTACAAATTACATTTCAAAGAACTCTAGTTGCGAGAAGAATTAGACGATTCCATATTATTCAGTTGGAAACTCTAAAATTACATGTTTTTCCCCTGCTTATGGCATTGTTAATGCGAATAAAGCAATTGTTATTCTAAAAAAAGTTAATCTTCAAACTTATTGGTTACTGCGTGAAAGTCTGAAACACTTAATGCCGTGACAAATATAAATTTGAGTTTTTCTTAGGGACAAAATGCATATTCTTCTCATCTAAATTTTCAAAAATTTAAACAATTAGGTTTTAAAAAATACAGTTTGGAAAGTATTGCTTATTAAGATAAATCCTGCCTGATAATAAATTAACCTCAATACTAGTGCTTCCTCTTGGGGAAAAAAGAAATTTCTTCTCTCCGTTGGTAAGGATCTTGTAAGTGTGGAAAGTGGTTTGAATCCGGTCAGGTATTCCTTTGTTTTCCATCTTCGAAGCCAGTAGTGTCTGTAAATACTCATATGTGGTATAGCTTTAAATACCTTTTAATTTCAGTTTGGTAAATCTTTTTGCTGACATAAGACAGTATAGCACCTTACTTGCACAAATCTGTCGTCACTAAAAGTATCACAACACAAAGAAAGTATCTCAGGCATGTTAAATGATAATTGCAAAGAATAATTATGTTTCTTGCTCAAGTGTGCACATAAACATGTTTATAATTTAAGTAACAGCGATTTTACCGTCTCGCCAAATATGCAGTATCGCGGCGCTGAAAGACCAACAACGCCAGAAAACACAGAACCAGAATTGAAACCCCAGCGGCAATGCAGTTTTTGACCGCGGCGATGCGGAATTTCATAGCCATCCAAAAACTAAAGTAAAAAAATACATTTTAGATTTGACTTGGTCTGTGGCACTTGTTAATCAAGGTTTACTATAACACCGCTAAATATCAGCTCAAACAAAGTAACACTAAAACTGAACTGAGAACTTCTATCTTATAAGTTCTGCTTCGACTCAAAATTAGTATAAGGCTTTTTAAAGTGATAAAAACTTGTTTTTTTCTGAAGAATAAGGTATCTTCAGTCTAAAGATTTAACTGTAGATTAAGATATTACATTCTATTATTTGCAAATCACGGGGAAAAAAACTGTTGCAGCTATATCAAAAACTTCGCAATTTTTTCTTATTATTTCGCTCTCATGCTTGATTAGTGCATCTAATATCAATTCTCCAATCTTGACTGCCACCATAACTAATGAGAAGAAACTCCACAAGTAATACGTCACAGAACAAAAGTTTAGTTTTAATTGTAGTTGAATTGCTTTAAAGCCAAATGTATACGAGTTGCTGTACACTGTTAATCCAGACAAGGGTTTGATGCATAAATAAGTCATTAGACATCGTGAAAGGCAAGAAGGTTTGCTCGAAAAGTACAAGGCACTGGAATAAATAAGCCGATTCAGTTGACTTACTAAATGCTCGTGTAAATTTTAAGGTTACTGCACATTTAAAGCATAGCAAAAGCTTAAGAGAAACAATGTTGTTTTGCTGCGAACATCTGAAGGTTATAGCTTTGCTGAAACCTCTTGCTAAATACGTTTTAGGAATTTGAAATAAAAGATGGTTTGACGGACCTGCTTGAATAACTTTTTCCACATAAACTGTGTAAGAAAGCTGTCTAAAAGAGTTCGTTTAGTATTACAATGCTCTCTGTGAGCTTCTCTAAATTCTTCAAAATTGGCTATCAAATGTTGTTAGAAGCGCCGGTGGCAAAACCGATAAACTGCAACTTGTAGTTTACTGTCAGGCTTTAATATCCTTCAGACAGCTCTCTAATGCCACTTTGACTGTCCACTTGTTCAAAACAATAGTAGTGCTTAGGAAAATGTACTGTTGAATAAGGGTCGCATGGTCAACGTCTTGATGCTTAACTGGCACAATGAAACGCTTGTTCGTTTCATTCTCAACGCATCCGAAACGCCACTGCTGCAAAATAAGCTTCTCCTGTTATTTTTCCTCCGAATCAAAACTGTCTCGTACATTTCCACGATTTACTTCAACCGCTTAAGTTAACAAAATTTGTTTCAAAATTAGAAACGCGTACATCACTGAAGAACTTGAAATCAGCGAGGGTAGTAACAATACTTGCCGTAACTTGCTGTGCTGCCAGTATCACAGGGCATATTCAAAGCAATTTGATTGTACACTGGCCTATGAACCTGTACGAAAAAGTACCATAAGCGGAATACTTCTTTTATGCTTAAAAAGCCTTTTTCAAAAAAAGTTTCAACATGAAACTCAATCGTTTTCCTACAACCCCTTTTTGTGCACCTGAAGCGCATTCTACAAACACTGCCCTTCTTTTTTCTGTCTGTGCTTATAGTCATTCTGTTACCGCAGAGACAAACAGACTGCACAAAGAGCAGGCCTGCAGACTGCTGCCAACCCTCAAACTCTTTATCAGAAAATGCAAATTTCTGATGAAGATCTCTATACCAAAAGAAAAGACAAAAAAGTTCATAAACAGAGAAAAACACCAGTAGTAAAAAAATGATAAGAGATAGAAAGATACTTCTTTCAGGTTTTTATAGTTATTTGGTAGAAAAGATTTTTTGAAGCTATAATACAGAATGCTGTAATACAGCTGTAATACAATATAATACAGAAGTTGACCTGTTAAGGTAAAAAGTAAGGCTATAAGCATGAGTATAATTAACAAATGGCTGATAAAATAATGATTAAATCGAGAAAGGATTAATAAAAAGATTTACTTCTCCCTTCATCTTCTCTTTCTCGGCGACCTACTGTGCAAAATTTTCGAACAAATGTTGCCCGCGTCCCTCCTCAACCTTTTGCCTTTCTTCAATAGATACCACTTGTCAGTCTCTCCATTCTCCGTAAAACCGTCTTAAATGAAAGACACTTTTTGTCGCGACAGCATGCGGAAGGCCACCCCAAGCACTGTAGTTGCCACTGAACCACCCCTGAAGGGAAGCTTTTGGAGGGTAAACAGTAGGTCGCTACTACCTTGAAAGGTATTTAGGCGAAGCTAACCTTAATAGTCAACTCTTTCTTACCAAACCAAGTTTTGGAACAGCGCTTTACTGCTCTCGTCTATCCTTCTAGTGCCTTTGGCTACAATTCAACTCTTGTATTCTATCGTGCCCATTGGCAGTTGCTTATTTGTTTTAAGTTTATTTTTCTTTTATTAGTCTAGTTTTGTTAATTGGTTCATTACAATATAACTCCTTCATATTGTACCCTATTAGTTAAGGCGCAAGACCTGTGTTGAAAGCGTCTTACTAATACTATTGTCATTCTAAATACCTTAATTATTTTTCGCGTTGTAATATACTCTAGGGATTTGAGCAATGAAGAGTTATATAAAGTTCTGGTGTAAACATCCTGAAACCAACAATCGTACATTTTACGTCTAGTCCTCTTAATAAGGTTGGCTCTGTAGGCGTTGGCAACTACAATTGCCTACAGTAGGAAACTATAGAAGTTAGGTTCCCTAGGAACATACTAGAGGAGTTGGCAACAGCACAGCTCAGCAATTAAATTTGCTGTTGGTAGTTGCGACACTTTTGTTTTGATGCTCCAGAAGTTGGAAAACTAAACCAATTTTCACTTTTTTCCAAGTTGAAAGAAACAGAGGAGCATTTACTAAACATCAAACCAAAACGAGTATTCAGCGTAGCATCCAACGTCTAAGCGCACTGCGCAGTACACTATTCGAGCAGCTTTCTATGTCATACGTAAGAAATCCTGGACCGAACATGAAAATACGGGAAAAGAGCAAGCAAAATGACCAAAGCCTACTTCGGTTATTTGTCATCTTATGTCTCCCTGTTTCCCTGGCCCACTGTGCAAGATTCCCTGAAGAAGCTTCTGCATTTCTCTCTTGGCTTTTCGCTCCTTTTTATCAGAAACCACTTGCCAACCTCTACATTTTTTGATAGGCCATCTTGAAACAAAACCATTTTTCTCTTTAGACATCAAAAGTTAGATAATTAGGCAAAATTAATTTTTTCTTAACTCGAAAGAATGTTCGAAAATTAAACCTTCTTTTTCTGCTTACTGTACACCTGTGCTCAACCATCCCCAAATGAGTTATTTTAGCCGAGTACTATAAAAAGGGAACAGGTATCTCTTGTCGTTATTAGCAAGTCAAAAAAAACTGGATATAATATTCAATTATTGTTTTAAACGTGAAACCTACTGATTTGCTGTACTATCTAAAGTCAGCGTGGTAGAGCCACGAAGCTGAAAAAGAGCCAAGAATTCTCAACAAAAGCAACAAGCTACTTCAAACAGTATAGAAACTATTAAAACCATATGACGGAAAATTTTCATTAGATAAATTAAGAGCTTCTACGAAAAGACTCGAGTCATTTTCTAGAGTATCAGTTTTTCATTGAAAAAAAATGTCTTTTGTTTCCACTTTTTTTCTAGGGCGATACTTGTGAAGTACTCACAAGCGAACATTCACGACAATGAAGAATCCTTCTCCAAGAACGAAAAAAAATTTTTAAGGTTAGTTAGAGCTTCCTGAAACACCTCGTCATATTCTAAATTTTACTTTGAAACTGTGGTCAGAAAAACTGATAACTGCTTTAAAAAGTAAGTGAAAAAAGACAAAAGTTGTGTAAAAGTCAATGCCAAGTAAACATACTGTTTAAACATATGCCCCAATAATAAAGTTGTATTGCTTTTAAAGATTTCAGCTTTACTGAACCCAACCGACGTAATGTTGTCACCATCTTACACTATCTCTTAAAGTCTATAAGTCACAAGTTCTCAAGGTGTTTATAGAAAGTTAAAAAGGCCGAGATACAACTTAAAAGATTTCTATTTCTAAAATAGTACGCGTTGTTTACTTTTCCATCAAACTCTCTTAAGCTGCTAAAAATGCACCAAGTCGCCTTTGGCTACTGATTTTACAAAGTACTACAAAAATTAATTTTTATAATAATAAAACAAAGTTCATTCTCACTATTTAAATACTCATTATTAAAAAATTTCTGAAATTTTAAGCATTGTGAAGTAGCGTTAACTTTAGCGTAACAGAAACAGAAATGCACGCAAACTCAAGTTTCTTGCTTTTTTTACGAAAAACGAGTTATGTAAATTGGGCTTACAAAATACATAATCTAAGAGAAGGTAACGGAGCAAAACTTGTGGTTTATGTTTCTATGAAAATTTTATATTGATACAATAAGACGTTTGTAAAGTTAAGACTCCCAATTATAAGCTGCAGGTGTCGAGACAATTTTCAACATATCGCAAGAAATTAATGACATTTTGATAAGACATACCTCTCGCATTTCCAATGCTGTCATTGCTATTTGAGATGCGTGATGTTCTTGTTCTTCAGGAATTCCAGCTGATACCATATAAGCGTCGCCGATAGTTTCCACCTAGAAAAGCAGTATGGCCTATAATATTAAAAGGTGCTTAATAAAAATTGGATAAATTAAATATCTTTTGGAGGCTTACTTTGTAACAATGATTTTTTGAGATTATCATGTCAAATCTCCTAAAGATTCCGTTTAACAAGCGAACAACTTCCATTGGAAGACTTTCGCTACACAGTGAAGTAAAACCAACAATATCAGAGTACATTATTGTAACTGAGTTGTACACTTTTGCCGAAACTTTGTGGCCCACTCTCAATTCCATCGCTACGGACCTTAAGTAGTTTTGAAGCAAGTATAAAAATACATTTCCTTTATTCATAATAAGTCTTTAAAAGCATTCTTTCAGGGTAAAAATGTAAGTACTTTGTAAAAAAAAGTAAAAAAGTAATGCCATAAATATATCAGTACCTAGGTAACAGCTCAAGCAACAATCGTTCAGCATGTTGTTGTTCTTCTTCTAGTTGTTTTGTACGTTGCTCGACCATCACTTCAAGGTTGTTTGTGTACTGAAATTGAAAAGGCCAACTGTTTAACTACTGAAAGAAAACTTCCAACTTTGTTAGATAATTAACTTATTACTCCAATTATCAGTACAGCTCTACGGTTTAGACGCTTATCACCAAAGATCTTATCTCCAAAATTTTTAAAATAAGCAGCAAGCGCTAATTTCTTTGTCTTCTAAGATAGTTTGAATTTTCTTAAGCAACTTTTCCGTGACAATCAACGAACTCGAGTTTAAAAGAAATTTTTGTTAACAAATAAAATTAGACAAAAATGGAACAAATAACACCAGTATGCGCACCTCTTCCAAGTTTCGAATCATCTGATCTACCAGACTTCCAGTCCTACAAAAACGAAATCAATAAATTTATTGCAAAAAGGAAATTAAACGAGTTTTGCCGAGGTTACTGTCTCCTGGCTTTTTTTTGTATGTTTGCAGACTTCTCTAATTTCAGCCTATTCGCAACAGAATCAGTTCGTTTATCAGTATTCATAAAAGGTGCTTTAATACTCAAATAATATGAAATGTTATAGGAAATAAATTCCCAAATTCGCAAAACAATAAAAATTTTATAGAATAAAAAGAAAGCTTTCACTTTTTTAATGTAGCATCAGTAATTTTTCGAGTTAGTATTGCGTCAGGACGTAGTTCCGGTGTTTTGCTGCAGCATTTGGTAACCAGCTCAAGAAGGTTAGGATGTATGTTTTCAGCACTTGGCAGGCTCAAGTAGGTGGGAATAAGTGTCTGAGCTGTTTCATCAAAGATTCCATTTTCCATATCTTCGTACTCTTCTAAAAAAAATTTAATCTCCTTGTCGCAGTTCTTGTCTATAATGCAAACTTTATAATTAAAAACAATTATTACTTGACAAAAGTCTACAACGATTTACAGACTTTAAGACAGACACCCAATACTTGACACCAAATATGATATATTACAGAAACCTGATTGTCACAAAGCAAGAAAGCTAATTCTCAAAAAAAACTCTAAAATTTCTTCAAACCTCGATGACGTTCGTTGATTACAGCAAAACGTTTATGAAAGAGCATTTCATAGAGAATAATCCCAAATGCATACATATCAGCAGCTTGACCTTGTACATTGGTGATAAGTAAACTTGAACTTTTCGACGTTCTCAACCACTTCAATAATTCAGGTGCAAAATAATATATCTCTAAGAAACTTTCTTGTTTAGCGTATTTGGTCTATTCAAAATAAAGTAGTATTTACAACCTTGTTTACGAACTCTGCACATTGACCAAGACAAAAAACAAAATTGAAATATTTATTTGTTTTCCTACAGTACCTGTTGTTAAAAAGTTTTGAAAATTGTTAGTACCCGAATTCTTTATAATTGGAGAATGATCAACTGTTTCGAGTGTACCATTTTTCTTCCATTTGTAGACCAATCTCAACAGACCAAAACCAGATAGTTTCAATATCCAGTGGTTATTGATCAGACAATGATTCGTCGTTAATGATCCGTGATACCCGACCGATGAAGAATGAAGATAATCAAGACCCTACAAAATTTCATCTACTGGTAATGGTCAACCATTCAAGTTATGACAATCTACTTCTATTACCAACACATACTCTAATAATGTCCCTGACAAAAGAGCTTCTAAAATCATCTTCAAAACGAGCAGATCTGCTTAGGCCAGTGCTTTCAGCTTGTACTTCGTTTTCAAAAATAAAGTCAGCAAGAGTACTGCGAAAACAGTGCCTCCACATTACATAAAGCTCCGAATTTTTTTCAGCACAAACGCCGATAAACGGATTGATATTATCATGAACCAAATTTTTTATCTGGAATTACAAAAACGAACTTCATTCAATATTTGAGCAGGCAAAACAAGTACAGTCTGTTATCGTTTTATCCTGCAAAAGATATTCTAAAAAAAAAGTGATGACCTGACAAAGAAGCGTTATATCTGTTCGGTCAAAGACAAGTCTTTCCTTCAAAGCATATGTGTTTACAGTGACATACATTTGTCCGATAGTAGCCAATCGAAGAGACTTGTCAAGGTTCTTCAGTTTTCCTTGTAAGCTGTTGTTAGATGGTTGTGCGGTACGAACCGAATATCCCTGAAATAAGGAAAATGTGCCGTTTTCTTTTTTAAATGACAAAAGAAATTTATAATACAAATTGTAGACAAAGTCATATTGATTCACATATGCCACAAAATTCATAAGTAGTCAGAAAACATTGAAAAGACTTACTGAAATTCCTATATCGAAATCCATAATTTTTAAGACGCTAAATGGTACTGCCCAAGGCATTTGGGAGGACTCACCAATTTTTCTGCAAACAATTTGCACTTTGCGTACCAATTTTTTAATTTCTCTACGGTAAAAACAAAAGCAATTGTTAAGAATAAACATAAATCCCGATGCTGTTAAGGTACTTACAACTTCCGATAAAGAAAAAGCCCTGCCACGATCAAAACTATAGCAATCATAACCCCAGCAATGATAATGACAACCCTGGAATTACATATTATATCTTTAACAATTAGATTATGAACTGAAAACCCTTCATTCTGACCAAAGCTGTTCTACGACCTACTCTGTCTGATTGGCATGATCACAAAGCTCAGGATTTAGATCGCAGTTCACTACAGAAACTCCCCGCTTTGAAACTGAATGATGCAGTAAGTCGCTTACAACCTGAAAGACAAAAACGATAAGAACAATTTCAAAACTCTAACTTAAATGATCTTTAAAATAAACCTAACGACATTTTTCAAAATCAATGTGAAACAGTCACAAAAAAGACTTCACTTACAAACTTAAAATTGCAAATTGGAGAAATAAAGCCACTGCAAATTCTTGTCAGTTGAATTGTCAAATAATCTTCCATCCCTGACTTCTGAACAATTTTAGCAACAAACGGCTGAAGACGAAACCCATGCCTGCTGATGCAGATATCTATAAATGGACCTAAAACTTTTGTTAGTCAGAACAAAGTTTCAACTCTCGCTACGAAAAACCTTCTATGCTTACTAACTTACCATTATGGATAGAATTGTAAAAGAAGTGAATTGCTTCTTGAGCAGTGACACATCTCAACTCCCCAAAAGCACCATAGATTTCATTGACCAGTTTTAAATACAACCACATTCCTTCACTTCGGAGAAGCTAGAAAATTTTTGAGACTTAAAAGTAATGCCAAGCAAACCATGTCCAAGTGTGATCAGTACACAAGTTTAATAAAAGCTACTCTGACAGATACGAAACATTTTGAATGTAGTGCAAAACGGTTTTTTTACTAAAGCGTAAAAATTGTTTAAAAAAGTGTTTGCATTTCTAAAAGAACCATAAATATTGAGCACTTTGTCAAAGCTATGCCAGAATTAAAAAGTTTGGGATTCTCATTCGAGACTGTTCAAAACAACGATTATATATTTACAGTTTTAACAAGCAACTTTGTCAAATCTCAAATTTTACTGACTAGTAATCCTACATTTTTACTATAAAACTGCTACTAAGTTTTGCTGTCTAAATCAAATCTCTCTACTTATTTGATCCAAAAACTTAAAAAACATCAGATATTTGAATCTGTCTCATCCAGATGCTTTATTCTGATTAAACCACTACTTTAATGTACAGACTTTCCTCTTTTCCTACTCGCAACTAATGATATTTTCCAGTTACACGACACCCTGACCCTCTCCGCCTTCTGTCAGTGGCTCTGAAGACACTAATTTAGTCAGCACGACTGTTAACATGACCTCAGGGCGAGCAGCGGCCCCATATAACGTGATAAGTTTTCCAATAAAGCAACCCGTTTTTGCAAGTGAAATTCTGAAAACCTCCCGCAACAATCAGGTGGCAGTAGGCTTTTTACGCGTTAAAACACTACACAAAGGAGAAGCCTTGCTAGGAAGGTTTAAAAAAGCTACAAAATTTTCAAAAACTAGTTTGAATTAGTTCTTGATTTATGCTGCAAACTGCACTATTCAGAGTTCAACGCAAAAAAATTTATATACAACTAAATAAATGTTCTTTAACTATAACCAAACAGAAAAAAACATTCAATCTGTTTTTTTTTCTCTCAAGATTCAAGGTAAAAATTTTAGTCTAAACTTTTTTTGACACAATTTTTAATAAATATTTTAGAAAGAAGGTCTCAGGGTTCCACAGATTACTTTTTGAATATAATTGAACGTTTTTATTTGTTTTGGTTATTCAAATCATTGTTTTAAGATTCAATGATGTTTATTTCAAAAATTTTCACGTTTGATTAACCTCATTTTCAGCAGTTCCACTGTCCATCCAACCGTTGGTGGTTCTTTCTTCATCATTTATTCTGTCTGTTATCTAAAGCATAAAAGATAATAGACAATTAGTAAAAGTGCAGATTTTCATGAATAATTCTTTTGATTTGCATGTCAAAGTTTGGCACTTACAATCACAATTTTATCATACGGTAATTTCTTGCTAAGTAAAAGCTTTTCTGCACTTCCAGATCCAAAACTGAGCAAAGGCAAAAAAATTAGGAGTTTTTCATAAGAAACGTTATGCTGGTTTAACTGCTCTATAAAGTCGATATTGTCCTGGACATTCGCGTACAAAAATGCTGCTATTACTGCAATGTAATAATGATAAAAAAGTGCCTGCAATTGCAATTGAGTACTTTTGCTGACTGAATTTAGCAATAGCCATATAGTTAAAACTGTTTTCCTGCCCTAGACTGAATTTTTTATTATTTAAAAGAATAAAACGGTAAGTATTATTACTTCTATGCGAAGTGATAAAAAGTGATATAAAGTTGAAATTTGTGAAGCAGAAGTAGCCAGATTTTTCCGTCAGAAGTTGCTGCAACTTATTTTGAACACCGAAATAAAATTTGTGAACCACTAACCAGTATCAATTCGGCTTAAAGTTTTTAATCGTTGTAACACATCGGTGGTGATCATGTCATCGTCGAACCATACAAAGTCTGCCTGCTCTTCCTGTTCAGACAATAACGTGATAATTTGATATAAATTTAATTTTGACAATCCCAGTCTTTGAACACCACCATTTCTGCCAAAAATTATAACCTGCAAAAAAAAATAAAAACAATTTCTAAGAGCACAGTAACTAATTACCGTTCTTCTTTTAAAAAATACTTTATTTGACTTTTAAAAAGACTAAAAACCTGTCTCCAAATTTTGTTGAAGAAAGGGCTAACCTTGTTCCATAGTAGCGATTCTTTTAGAGCCATTAGATTCATTGCAATGTTTTCGGAATTGTAAGCAGACATCTTAAACGAAGAAGTTTACTTGGTATATGGTTTTAAAATTTGTCGGTGAAATATATTTTACCTACTAAAGCACCTTTATTAAAATTTATAATAATAAAACAAATATGTGCATTTAAAATTTCAGTCTGAGGTGGTTTAAAAAGCTGAATCCGCCAAAGGTAAGGTGAATACTTGAATGTAATATCCGCCACTCTGTTGCACAGTGACCTCATGTAAGTGGAATTCTACAAGGAAATCTAAAAAGTCCAATCCATTGAAGGTTTCGTTCCCTTCTGTAAAACATTTGATTGATGTATCCAAACAAACTAATAAGCTGTTAAAAAGAAATAATATTTAGAAAGTTAATCAATCTAAAGTGCACTATCACTGGTAATATTCACCTTCAACGGAAGTACAGGTAAAGCTACAAATTACAGTGTTCTGACAAGAGAGGGTACTAAGTGAGCCTGAACGAATGATAGTTTTGCCAGAGAACTTCCATTTTTTAGCATCATCAAACGTCCATCCCTCACCTCTAAAATATCAAATAATTCCTTAAAAATGTCTTTTAAAAAAAAAAAGATTTTGAAATGCAGTGATGCGAACAAGTCGACCACTTTTTCGCAAACAAACAGGTGCAAAGCCGTTTGGCTGTACTTGCTACAAGAATCATGACACGTTGCCCCGTGCAAACATCGACAAAAAAGTACGACAAAAATCTCATTAAGCAAGCAGTAACAGTAATTGTAAAGCTTCAACGTCTTATTGAAAAACACTACAATACAACAAAAAATGTTTTTTTTTACACTCAGTTTTACATCTTGAAATTTTTGCTCACAATTTTTTTGAGGACATCGTTAAACTAGAAAGTGCAGTCTAAAATAAAGTCTTTTCAATATCTTTCCCTAGCGGATAGAAATGGTCACAATTATTCTACATTTCAAATCTTTTACATATATCAAGCTGATCGTTAACAGGAGAACTTTTAATCTGCTATCTAACATTAAGATACCAATTACTAAAAAAATATCATGCAAATAAAGTTTTAGCAAACGCGGTATGGAAGAAGAAGAGGTTTGGTAATTAACTATAGCTGATCAGCCCCAAGAGCAGTTGAGCGTGCAAACTCCACAACATGCTTTTTTTACCTTACTCTATTTTTACATTTCTCAGATTATTTGTTTAATATTTGATAATTTCAAACTTATTTATGCATTTCTCACTAACGTGCTTACGGTTCACTGTCCAAATCGTGTTTTAGCCACATACGTATCTCCCAAAACCGTTTTTTGAAGCAGTACGATGCAATAAGCAGTGTTCACTCTTTACTAATATAAAGCTTCAAATTCGCTTTGTAATGGAAGTTACTTTTGCTTTTCTAAAGGTTGTTTGCTGCCTCGGCATTGTTTATAGGTCGAAAAACATACGAAAACTAGCACTAATTTTAGCGAGGCATCTTGCGAATATTGCAGCACGCGGTGCAATTAATGTATTTCAAACCCACGATAATTAACTTAGTTGAAACAAATTCACGTTTAACATACCACGTTTGTCTACTTTCTGCTTATTTTAAATTAATGCCAAGGAAAAAAACTTTTAGCTCTGATATATTCAAGTCACTCTCCTTCAGGCCGCACACTTTTTCGGGTTAACACCCGAGAATTTTCTCTCATTTTGCTGGTTAGAATTACGAGCCATAAAATATAAAAAAATGTGAAACTGAAAAAAATCTACATTTTTGGCAGTCAAACTTACCTTACAGCGGCGAAACTTCCTTCAACTGCTTATGAAAGCCATACAGTGGCTATATATATACACATACATATGAAACATTCCATGTTAGGTCTCGCACTTTTGTCTTGTCACTCAGCTGCCCAAATTTTTTTCCTTCTTTGCCATTTGCGGCAAAGTTAGACCGTTCTAAAGTGATAAAGAAAGCAATTTACCTTTCACATGGTCAAAGTTGAAAACCTGTACTTTTTGTTCTTTAAAACAAACTTTCGTCAGTTTTACGCATTGCTTGCTTATTGAATTCTTCTGACCCAAATGTTTCCCAATAAATATTGTTTTTTTTATTGCGAGTATTGTTTTGCTATTTTTGTTCTCAACGCTTTGTAATAGAATGTGGTAAAATTTTTGATACGTTTGAATGATGAATTTACTCAAAAACGCGGTGCTGGAAGTGCTTCTTACTTTTCATATCCTCGTGAAAACACTACAATCATTACTAACTCCTTCCGTTAGTTTGGAGCCCATTTGTAAAGGTTATTTTGGGTTGGATTTAGGCTGAAAGTGTCTTTTTCATGTCGGCCATCGCTACTAGTCTTTTCACTATACCTCCATGTCTCAAATTAATGTACGGCTAAGTAAGTGACAACAAAACAATACTAGCAATAAAAAAAATAGTACTGAATGTGAAATAATTGGGTTAGAAGAATTCAATAAGCAAGCAATGCGATACAAACTGGAAAGTAATTATAATAGTCATTTTTTTGAAAAAACTTTGTAAAGCTGTCTAAAAGTAAATAGATTTTAAATAATTATCCGTTCCTAAAGTAGTAGGGCTGAAGGGTTTCATAAAGGTTAAATATATTATTAAAATTAATAAACTTTAGTTGAGACAGAGATTTTATTAATTGCGGTAGCGCCAATATGCTGCTTCAGTTGGGAGTTTTTTCCACTATGTTGTCACTAATCGCGCCTTAACTCTTGAAGCCGAAAAGATATCGCTGTGCAATTTTTATATTTTATGCAAAAACTATGTCTTTAAACAATTTAAAGTATCGCTTCTTGAGAAAACGCGTTTTAAATTTCTGCTTCTATTTTAATTTAAATTAAAATTTGCTAATGTAAGCGTTTCACAGTTTTCCTGATCTAAAAGAAGGCAGGCTTTCAGGCAAAGTGTAAACAAGAAAAATTCGTTACAAAGAGGAGGAGACCACAGTTTCTTGAAGGTGACCATGTCAAAGGTAAATGAAGGTAAATTGCGCCTTTATTCGCAATTTAAGACGGCCTAACTTTGCCGCCAGTGCACTTTATAAGGTAAACCCTTTTGATTCCAAAATCCGATATCAAGTGCTACAAGCAGGCAAAAAAAGGAAAAAAAATCTGAGAGGTCGAGCGACAAAAGTGCGGAACCTGGCAAAAGATGTCCCATATATATACATGTATATATATGTAACGCTTTTTTACTCTAAGCGGCGCATTTTTTCATTCAATGTCGCAGATTTCTTTAGTTTTCTGCTGGCTTACAGAACTTGATACCCAATTTCAGGATCGAGGAGAATACAGATCCTAAATATAGTCGTTTTCGAAAACTAGTAGTTTTTTGCTCATTTATGACAGAGTTTCCAACCTCTACACTTTCTCAGAATTTGTTTTCTGTAGACTCAGAAAAGTATTGGAATGTTTATTTCGACAATTTACATAACAATTTACAGCAAAACGAGAAAATAGAGCATAAAACGTTTGGACCTTTCGCACACTGATGGTCTCAGCGCGCCAATTGGCTAGCCCCTTTTCAGCAGGGAAGTTGAAGAACGGGACTTTGAAGAGGACAGCAGCAAAGGCAGAGGGAAGAGCAGCAAAAAGAAGAGAAAAAAAGCAACAGCGCGGCTACTTCTGTACTCATTTACACACATATTCATATACATCTTAAAACGCGTGCATGACGCGGTTGGCGTGGTCCGATGGTAGTGTTACATCTTTCGGTGCTACTAATTCTGGTTTCGGATCAACAAACTTCGGAATATAATGTTGCGTAGCTGGCGTTCCTGCCGTTCTTTATACACACCTTAAAACACTCAATTGACGAAGGCAAAGTGGCTCAGTGGCGGCGTTCCAGGTCTCACCACCACATCTGATTTCCAATTTGACAACTTTCCAATGCAGCTGCAGTTCTAAGATTGAAAAACACAATCAAGTAACGGCACTCAAGCGGAGTGAAATCAATTGTCTTGCGCTTTATGAATTGAGGTTGACGAAAAAACATCAGTTTAACATATGTTTCTTAAAAGAAGTCGTTTGCTGGAACGCCCAATGAGAAGCTCGCTTTTGAAGGCGAGGAATATGAGGCGCGGATGGCTTTGCTTCTTGGAAACTCTTGGAACGCATTTGTTCTTGTAAACTGCGAACTCTTTTTACGAAAAAGAAGAAGATACGCAAGTACCAAAACAACATCCACCTCCCTGACCTTCCCGACGAAAGTGTGAGCTTTCTTAGTTGATTCCTGATCAGTTTGGTTTATGACAGTCTAATGTTTGGTAGTTCTTTTGTATAAGGGGCATTAATCCACCTCTCCTCTCAGGTTCGAGAACCTGAGAGAAAAGTATAAATGTAACAGCAGTATAAGTGTTTAACTACGCGTAAGGCAAAACCTTTGCTCCACATCCTAAAATACGCAACACTGTACCTCGCATCACTTGTGCGGAAGGTTCTTGTGAGGCTAGACAAACCAATCTCCTCCACATCATGATATTATTCTCGGATCAACCTCCCTTACCTCAAACTTGGATAATTAAACATTTTTTGCAACTATGTCATATCGTCACTGTTTCAACCACTTCTCATCAACATCTGTGCTTCCCTCTCACAAGAAGTCAGACCCGTTTATAATGTCTCATTACTATTCATAAACCTTAAACTGAAGAATTCATGCTTTCAGCACCGGAAGAGGACTTCACGATCCCATTCGAGGGTGACACGATCCACATGCCTCCTCGACTGCACCTAGATGAGGCGACAGCAGCATGGGTCTCGTCGCAGCTTGTGTGGACAAGGGGGGATGC